TGGCCCCTTTCATTGCTTTGTCAGACAAGGTGCTGTTAGTTTTCCTTTTGTTTATTTTTTTAGAAGACAGAAGCTATGTATCTTGTGCTTTTGATTGTATTATGACCTCATTATATTTATAAAGGAAACACTAAGGACATTTAAATGACGTCCTATTTAAAGAATGTTAAGTAATTTTATTAGGGTTTGTGGTCAGCAGAATTTTGGCCCCCAGGTCCTTTGCCCTCTGGTGTCATACTTGTTAATATGTTAGATTGGATGGCAAAAAGGAGTTTGCAGATACAATGAAGGTTACTAATCAGAAAACCTTAAAATAGAGAGAGGATCCTGGATTCTCCAGGTGGGCCCAGCGTGATCACATGAGTCCTTAAAAGTCAAGGGGTGTGGCAGAAGTGTGAGAAGGACGCAACCAGCTGTTGTTAGTTTGAAGATGGAGGGGACCAAGTGGAAAGTGTGAGAGGAAGTGAATTCTGCTAATGCCCTGAATGTGCCTGGAAACAGATTTTTCCACAGAGCTTCCAGAAAGGAACGCAGCCCTGCCAACACCTTGATTTCAGTCTTGTGAGATCCTGACCAGAACATCCAGCCACACTGTGCTGACTTCTGACCTAAAGAGCTGTGTGCCAATAAATGGGACACAATAATGGTTGTTCTTTAAGCCTTAAGTTTGTGGTAATTTGTGCAGATAGAAGAGAAAACTAATATAGGGGTGGAAACAGATTTCTAAGGAAATTCTGTCATTTACATATAAAAGTCACAAGTTGCTAATAATGTCTCCTCTGGCAATGAGAATTTGCCCATGTTCTTTTCCTTCAGGTTTCCACTGCCCCTATTAACCCCTGTCTCCCCTGCCCCCCATGGCTTGCCCTCCTGAGTCACACACAGCAGAATTCAGAGCCCACCATTACCAGCTGTCAGAGCCTCCCTGTCATTGATTTAGTTGTGAAACTCATATTTTGTAGATAGTGAAATATTGATAGGATCTGTGGCTTGTACCTTGTCACAGTTTGATAAACCTGGAATAAAATTCGTATGAGACTTAAATTTCTGACTTCTTATGGGTTGTCATAAAACCTTCTGGGTTCACAGTGATTAATTTGGAAAAGGCAAGGAAATCTGAGCCATATTAAAATATGAAGGCCAATTTCTTAAAAATAGCTTCTCCTACCTTTTCTCTGTTTCTATAAATGATGGCAACTAATACCACCCAGCCAGCTCTGGTGGTCTAGTGGTTAAGATTTGGCTGTCACTGCCACGGCCTGGGTTGTTTTTGGTCAGGGAACCAACCACACTGCCTGTCTGTTGGTTGTTGTACCCTAGCGGCTGTGTGTTGCTGTGATGCTGAAAGCTATGCCACCAGTAATTCAAATACCAGCAGCGTCACCCATGGTGGACAGGTTTCATTAGAGCTTCCAGACTAAGATAGACTTGGAAGAAGGACCTGGCCTCCCACGTCTGAAAAAATTGGCCATGAAAACCCTATGAACAGCAGTGGAGCATTGTCTGATATAGCACCAGAAGGTGAGAGGATGGTACAGAAAAGACCAGGCAGGGTTCTGCTCTGCTGTACACAGAGTTGCTAGGAGTCAGAATCAACTCGACGGCACTAACAACAAAAAATGCCACCCACCATTGTTTTTGCCATTTGGGCTAGGAATGTTGGGGTCATCTTTAATTTCTTGTTCTCCTTGACTGCAACCTCTTCGTCCCCACCAGGCCCCCTGTATTCAGTTAATTGCTAAGCCATATGGATTCTACTTCCATGCTGTCTGTACATCCTATAATGACTTTCCAATCCAAAAATACTGCCCTTATTTCTCCCTCTCCATAGCATAATGATCATATTACTCTCTTGCATATAAATTTCATTGCCTATGGAATCTGGGTTGGGTTCCTCACCCTAGCTTTTAGTGCCTGGCATCACAGGGTCCTTAATCAGCCGTACTTCCCGCTCCAGTAAGGGGAATCATTTCCTTCCTTGGGATGAATCAACTTTTGCCACTGGGACTTGCTCATTTGTTCATTCTTCTGAAAATGCCCACTTCCATTTTTTGCTCTGTCTAGTCTTCAAGGCCCATTTTAATGTACCTCGTCTGTGAAGGTGTTCTCATTCTTTCTTTCTTTTTTTTTTTTTTTTTTGCCAAGTACCATCTCTCCTTTCTTCTCATCCCCAAACAACAAAACTGACTCTAAGTATCCACAGGGTCTATTGAAAAGCCAGGATGTTAAAATGAGTTTTTAAAGGCTATGGTTTTATTTTTTGTTGTATGCTTGTCTAGAATCATCTGTTGTTTTGGGTGTATTAGAAGTAGGTTACACCAGGGCCGGCCCCGTGGCTTAGCGGTTAAGTGTGCGCACTCCGCTACTGGCGCCCCGGGTTCGGATCCCAGGCACGCACCGACACACCGCTTCTCCGGCCATGCTGAGGCCGCGTCCCACATACAGCAAATAGAAGAATCTGCAACTATGACATACAACTATCTGCTGGGGCTTTGGGGGGAAAAAAAAAAGGAGGAGGATTGGCAATAGATGTTAGCTCAGAGCTGGTCTTCCTCAGCGCAAAGAAGAGGATTAGCATGGATGTTAGCTCAGGGCCGATCTTTCTCACAAAAAAAAAAAAAAAAAGAAGTAGGTTACACCTAAGATAGGGTCTTGTTAGTGTGTTTGGGTAAGGGGGGAAGTTACACTGATATTTGTAATGTGGGACTGTCATTATGTAGTTATTTAGACACCTTCTGCTGGCTGGGCTGATGCTTGGTGATTCAGATTTGTTTAGATGGTACACTGTCTCCCATTCATAATCTTCTTTTAAAATGTTAAATCGTTAATGAGCTTGGAGAAAGAGTTATAATGGGGGGAGTGGGTAGAGGGAGTCAGGGCAGATGAGTGGGGCCAGAGTGTTGGGGAAGAAAAGAAAGACATTGCCCAAATGAAAAAAATATGTGTATGGAAAATATCAAGAAAAATGTGTAATATAAAATTACACCTATATAATTTTATGCAAAACTGAGTAAACACATGAACAATGACCCAAGAGAAATATGACAAAGATTACGAGTGGGAACTCTGGAGTCACAGTGTGTGGCTTGTCACATGACTAGCTGTGTGACCTTGGGTAAGTTACTGAACCTCTCCCAGCTTCAGTTTCTCATCTATAAAATGGGGATAACAGCAATACCTACCTTTATGGAGTTGTGTGTATTGCATGAATTTCTATATGTAAATAGCCCTGACACAAAGCGAGCTCCCGGAGGTGTTAACCTGATGAGGAAGCCCTTTGCTGCTTTTAGGATAGGTTTTGCAGTTTCGGTTTTCTTGCAGTTTTTATTTATCTTAATTTTCATTTCATTTTGTCCATTTTTCGTGTTAGTCTGTTTTCTCTTTATGCCTTTCTGTTCCTAGTAGATCAGTTTGTATTTTTAATGCGGATTATCAAAGATGCCAAAAAGTTTCCTGACATCTCATGCTGGATTCTGCTAGATAGTATTTTCGAAAGTATAGTTTGTTTTTTTTCCTGGGTTATCTCTATGCTCATTCTTTTTCTAACTATAAAGTCTTTTCTTCATAGGTTGTCTGTAGTTTATTTTTCCCTTCGCTGTCCTCAAAGAAGGCAATAATTCTTAGGAAGTTTCTTAGATGAAGACCCAAATTAGTAGATAATTAAAAAAAAACAAAGTGAGAATTATTAAAGATTGATCTGTTCATTTTTTAATCATTTTGTGTTAAATCAAATAAATATATTTTATTCACTAATCTTTAGTTCAGACCCCTGGCTCTTTTCTGAATTCTGCCAATTTGGGTACTCATATTTGTCTTGCATTAACTCTGCCCCATCTAAGATTTCTAGTTTCATTTCCTTAAAGTGAAATGGAAACTTAAAGATACTCATGAAGCAAGCTGAGTGCAGAATCTCTCTAAATTGTTATAGTTGTTTTCCACTGTTTCACAGTTGTCCGACCTATTTTGACGGCAATCCTTTTAGTAACTATCCAAAGTATTGAACTTAGGTTCTATGGACATAACAACTCCTTTTTTTGGTTCATATTTTATTGTTTATGGCATATTTAATTACATTACAATTATAATAACAAGTGCCATTTTTCAAAACAGGGTTTGAAATAAACCACATTAAAACTTGTAAGCATCAATTCAACTAGTAACAAAAATGAGCAGAGGGTGTGAAGGATGGACTAACAGTCGTGGTGTTCTGTCATATGGGCATTGAGCAGTATGGTTTACAGGAGCGACGGGAAGCATCAATGAATCCATAGAGTCTAGGAAATGGAAGTCAGTTGGAGCTTTAAACATAGCAGTGGTTCTCAAACTCTGGCATGTGTCAGAATTATCTGGATGACTTGGTAAAACACAGATTGGTCGGTCACAACCCAGAGTTTCTGATTCAGTGGGATGGGGGTGGGATTTACATTTCTACCAAGCTTCCAGGTGATGCTAACTCTGCTGGAATACACTTTGAGAACCATTGAACTATACAGCCTATTTTGGTGGTGTGGATGGGGACAAGTCTCCTCAAACATCAGCATGCATAAGGCAGGAGGCCAGGTATTATCTTTCCGTCTGTCTCTACCTATGCACCTTCTGGTGGATAGGCATCAGGTTTTCTGTTACTCTTAGTTCTTGGGATTGTGTTGAAATGTTGAATATTTTTTTTTTCTGTGTCTACCTAGGAACTTTATTTGGAATTTGGGAAAGGATGCAAGGAGGGCTTTTAGAGTCTTCATGTTCATTGTTTTTTGCTTGAAAAAAATAAAACTACTAGTTAGCTTTTTCAACCTTGCTGGGCATGCTGTTTTCAAATCACGTGTCCCCCAGTATCCTCAGAGCAAAAAAAAGAAAACTCTATCTATCAGAAGATGTATGGTTGGCAATAGCTTGCCAGCTGCAGGGTAGAAAGGCAGCAATGTGCGTGTGTTGTCAGCAAGCTGAAGACTTTGTCTGAGCAAGAGACAGATTATCTGATTGCTCTGTAATCTCTCTTTCAGAACTGGCTGACGGAGCTGGAGATCTTTGCGATCATCTTCTCAGCTGCCATCCATGACTATGAGCATACCGGAACCACCAACAATTTCCACATTCAGACCCGGTGAGGATGTTAAGTGTTTGCAGAAGAGGCAAGAGGGGCCAGGGATAGAGTTTTAGAAGTCAGAAAGATGCAGTCACCTTTCTTTTGCATGGTTGCTATATTCTGAGTTTCTAAAAAAGTGAACTTATAAACAAGAGATCAGCCTGGTCAGCTTCAATCAAGACTTAGAGTTTAAGAAGCCATCTGTTCCTAATTCTCATACTTTATTCACATCTAATTAGGATCTCCTTTTCCTCTCTACTCGAATGCTAGCTATTTGTTTATTTATGTATGTACTACGCACACTCTACCTCTTTCTAGTAGGAGGTAGAACAGTCTATATAAATTGCAGATGCCATGTAGACTGAATCAGTGAGGACGGGCTCAGATTGCAGGGTTTATGTTGACATGAACAGTGACTGAGCCTTCTTACCCTCTCATCTCTGGGAGTCTGGTGATAGTCTTCTCATCTTCCCTGACTTCATCTCTGTTCAATGCTAGTGTCACTCCCTGGCACAGGGCTTGGGGAGCTAGGTTGTCTCATGTAGGCTACCTTCACCATGGGCAACCTGTTTACCCTCTATGGTGAACTGCACAAGTAATCACAAACCTCTGTGGGGAGTATTAAACACGGGTCCAAGTGCCCCACTCTGAACCTCTTGACTGTGACAGACATCACTAATCAATTTTGGTATTTTTTTCTTACCAGGCTGCATATTATCCTTAGTATTCCACTCAGCGCAGAATTCCAGGCAAGCAGTACAGTCCATTGTCATTTCCATTTAGGATGAAACCTTATTTTCTCTCTCTTGGCCTAAGAAGTTACCTTCTCTTAAGACAGTGATGTGGAACTGGAGAGACTGTGACAGTTGGGTTAGTTGGGCCTTGACATAGGAATCAAAAGAGGCTAGAATTTGGGAAAAGACGGCAAGGCAAAGAGAAAGAATATAGCAGGGAGGGGTGAGAGTTTAACACCAAATAAATACTTGCTGATTTCGTTTGAAAAAGCAGATGCACACTCCAGATAGTTTTGTGTTCATTAAATAAATCTACGTGTATTTAATGAACCCCACACTTAATTATTTGGAAAACTAAAGAAGACAGTATCATCTGATCTCTCTTCAGTAGGGGAATTTCAGTAGAGTGGCAGCGGACAAAAGGACTTAAGCCGTTTGCTTCATTTGCTACCTCCTGTCTCCTCACATAGAGTAGTCTCAGCTGCTGGGAAGCAGCCTTTTGTAGTGCTGTTGAAAGGTCTTTAAATACAGGGGATTCCACAGAGCAGCTCTGTTTAGTGGATATCTGCAAGTGGAACCTTTGCTCTGAGGACAGTGAATGGCACGTGCTAAGGAGGAGGGGTGGGTGGAACAACTGTACGTGGGTCCTGCCTGGAGACCAAGATCAAAACCAGTCACAACTCAGAGGGAAATGCCTTAATTACAGGAGTTGGAAAAGAGCTTAACGTCACAAAATACACATCAGTTGGTGCCTTACTTACTTAACAGATATAAGATCAGATCCTTCCCCTCAGGATTTGCATATTTTTTATTATCTCCATATGGGTGGGAAAATTCCAGTGGGTTCAGTTAAGCTTGGTTTGGAATGAAATTTAAACACTGGTCTTCTTTAACAGAACTTTATTTAAGGATCTTGGCACTAGTGATCTTCGTTTAGAAAACTCAGTCTGTGACCAGGTTCTGTGTCCTTTGATGGACAAAATGATAAGCCTAACAATTTAAAGGTGTGCTAGATATATCCCAAAGTTTGACCAATGGCAGGCGGAGGTTATCTTGGGGAACAATGGCCCGACTGTGAGAAGACCTTGCCTTCATCCCAACCCTGCCACTGTGGGACTCTGCAAAGTCACTTTACATCTCTGGGACTCAGCTTCCTTGATGAGAAACAAATAAGCTCTAATAGCTAAGATTTCATTAAATTAAAGATATTAAAATAGCATATGGCTCTGTGTTTGGTGTCATTCAACTGTGGAGTGGTCTTTGAGAAAGTGACTAACAATTGTCATATAATCCTTATATTCTTTACTCTCAATTTTCCACATATGGCTTCTGCATGGTAAAATTTTAAGATGAAGCTACAACCAGAGAAACTTGCAAACTGTACCTGCCAGGTGGTATGTGTTCAGTGAATTACAATTAAGATAAATAAACAAATTCTCTCATTGAATAAAATAAAGATAAAAAATTGAAATTGTTCCAGAAATAAACAAATTCTCTCATTGAATAAAATAAAAATAAAAAATTAAAATTGTTCCAGAAACTATAAGGAAGTTTGACTTGACCCACATTTTAAATCACCTTTGCCACTGGAACAGATAATTGAGATCTGGGTATAGAACAGTTTTCAGAGAGTTCTCAGGTTGGATATCACATATTTCACATTCACGTAGTGACATTAAAATACCCTGCATACAACTGTTGATAATTTGTAGTGTTGGTTTTAGCTTTTTGGTTGATATAAAGGGCATGGGGGCAAAGATAATGCTAAACATAAGAAAAAGAGATGGTGCATTCTAGCCCGGGCGAGTGACCTGAAAAATCTCAACTGTTTAAGACCCTCAATTATTTTGCTTGGCTTTCTGTTCAGGTCTGACCCAGCTATTCTGTACAACGATAGATCTGTATTGGAAAATCACCATTTAAGTGCAGCCTATCGCCTTCTGCAAGAGGATGAGGAAATGAATATATTGATCAACCTCTCAAAGGATGACTGGAGGTAAGGAGAAGACGAGAGAGAGATGTGGAAGCCAGGCAAGGACCTGTGAGGAGAGATGAAGTATGCTGCTTTTGAAGAAATAATACCCTGTTTGAAATGTTTATTGCTGTGTCTCTCTCTGTCTCCCCCCTCCCTCCTCCCCTCCCCCTTTATCGTTCTCTCTCTTTTTTTTTTATTGACACAAATATTCAAATATATTATAGGCATCTTGGAAATAATTGCTGTTTGTTACCTTAGGAAACTTGGGCTGCTTTTGTCTTAGCTTCTTAAATCGAATTTTATCATTTAACATTTTTTTCACCTTATATTGGATTGGACTTTTAAAAAAATCTTCCAAACTTTGCTAAGGAAATTATTTTGAAACTTAAAAAAAATCATGGGTACTTAATTCTCTTGCCTAAATGACACTGTGGGTCTTTGGGTTTAAGCACACCTGAGTTTGAATATGGACACAGTCATTTACTAGCTGTATGACATTTAGGAAGTTACTCAACCCCTTTACACCCTTTTAAAATTTAATTTCTAGAAATAGATAATAACATTTACTCTGTGATTTGGTTAGGGTTGTAATAAATGATATAATCTATTTAAAATGCTTAGCACACTTTATGGGGTATATAGCAAGCCTGCAAATCATTGTAGCTGTAAATACAGGTCAAGGTGTTTCAAAGCTTATAGGCAAAACCATTTAAACTGTTACAAAGTCCTGAATCTACTGTGAAGCAGATAGTTTATATCTATCTATCTATATATATAGATATATCTATATCTATCTATTTTTTTTTTTGTGAGGAAGATCGGCCTTGAGCCAACATCTGCCAATCCTCCTCTTTGATTGGCAGAGGAAGACTGGCTGTGGGCTAACATCCATGCCCATCTTCCTCCACTTTATATGGGACGCCGCCACAGCATGGCTTGCCAAGTGGTGCGTCCATGCGTGCCGGGGATCCGAACCAGCGAACCCCGGGCCACCTCAGCGGAGCGTGCGCACTTAACTGCTTGCGCCACCAGGCCGGCCCCAGTTTATATATTTTAATTAAATGATCAGCTGTTTATGGAGTGAGTGTCTCTGTGCCGTTATGTAAGGATTCAGAGAAATAAGCTATACCAAGCAGTAAATCCAAAACTGATTTTCAGTAAGAGTTGGCTATTAGTTTCCATGCAGCTCTAGTTTATTAAAACATAGAGGAATATTTGGCTTGAATTTTATTGGAAAATGCTAGATTCAGCCAGCGTCTGAAAAATGCAGAGCATTTCAGTTAATCAATGCAAATCTTCTGGAAAAAAGGAACCTTCTATCCTATTTAAGTGTTTGTAAAAGTATAATGAAAGATTTGAATATGGCAGAGAACAGCTTCACGCATGTTCAGTTACGTCATGGTTTTGAAGGATTTGTGTGAGGGCTTGTTCATATAGCATATATTCCTGGCCTTATGACAATCTAATAAAGTGCTCCAAAGCTTGAATAGTTGCCTCTTTTTTTTTTTTTAAATCTCAGGGGAAGGAGAAAGGGGAGGACACTTGAGTAGAAGCGTCATAGATCATGTAGTCTAAGGAAAGTTTAGCAAGGCTGGGAAGCATGAGACATTAACGCCAGGGATACTTTCTGAGAAATGTGTTGTTAGGTGATTTCGTCATTGTGTGAACATAGACTATACTTAACACAAATCTAGATGGTATAGCCTACTACACCTCTAGACTATATGGTACTAATCTTATAGGACCACCATTGTATATGCAGTTCGTTGTTGACCAAAATGTCATTGTGTGGTGCGTGATTGTATTGTTTTATTATTTTATCATATTTTATTAATGTTTAGATACACTGCTCCAAGACAATGGTATTATCTTATAAATAAAATACTAACTTATTATTTAGGGCTCTCAGTAAAGCCCATTAACCCCAAGATAACATGATTAATATCCTGTATCTTTCTAGGAAAGCAGTTTTACTATCTGATAGATTCTGTTTGGATATATAAGTGCATTAGACTTTTTAGGACCTTTGTAAGTGAATGTATTACCAGATATTTGCTGCATTTCAAAGTGGAATAAGATGGAATTCCACTTTTGGCTGGCCAAACTAGCTGCTAATAAACCAATCCTCCTGCAAATAACAACTATAAACCATGGACAAAATACAAACAAACAAACACAACTCCCAATGACTTGAGGCTCTAGAGAGTGAACAAAATCAGACAGATTTTGAAGAGGTGTCAAAATTTGGAGACTATGACAAGATGAGATGAGTCTGATGTTTTTGTGACTTTACCCTGAAGGCAGTCTCAGTCAAGGTGACAATGCTAGATGGCTAAAACTATATTTATACAAAATCCTCCACTATTTTTCTTGCTAGAGAAACCAAGGTAGGAACAAACAGAGCTCCTATCAAGCAAGTTAGAATCCCAGACAAGAAAGAGCCAAATACGAGGAAACTCAAATTCTGTGACAATCTAAATGACATACAAAGAAAATGTGACTTTTTTGCAGGGGAAAAGACAATCAATAGATGCAGACTCCAAGGTGAACTATTGTTGGAATTATCAGGCAAGGCCTTTTAAAGCAGTTGTTATTATATTTATGTTCAGTGAGCATAATATATATATTAAAGCCGTAAAGGAAAATATACTTGTAATAAATAAATTGTGGTAAAATTTAACCAGGGAAATTAAAATAAAAGCAAGAGGAAAAAGAAATTTTAGAACTGGAAAATAAAATATCTAAATTGAAAGTTCACTACATTGGCTTAATAGAAAGTTGGAGAAGACAGAGGAAAGAATCAGTGAACTTGAAAAGATCAATCAAAATGATCACATTTGAAGAAGTAGGAGAAAAATGATTTAAAAAATGAGTGGAATCTTAGAGACCTGTCAGACAATTTCAGATGGTCAAACATAAGGAGAGTTGGAGTCTCAGAAAGAGAGGAGAGAGAAAGAATGGGGCAGAAGAAATATTTAAAGAAATAATGGCTGAACACTTCCCAAATAAGGTGAAAGATATAAATCTGTAGATTCAAGAAGCTCAGCAAACCTAAAAGAGGATAAATTCAAATAAAAACACACCTACACACATATTATAGTCAAACTGCCGAGAGTTAAAGATAAAATTAGAGACAAACGACACATGACATTCAGTGGAACAATTTGAATTACTGTAGACTTTTCATTACAAACCATGGAGGCCAGAAGACATTGGAATAACGTCTTTAAAGTGCTAAAAGAAAAAAAATGTTGCTTTACTACACCTTCACTTGCATTGGAATTTTTCCTGTGAGTTAATTTTCCAAATGATATGTGGATTCCACATGTCATATTCCTTTCGAACAACTTCCCTAATCCTTAACCTTCATTGATTCCTCATAAAAAGTCCACCTAAAAGTCTCAAGTTAGATTAGAAATGTCACAACTAGCTAACTGATTTCGATTAGAAGTGGCAAAAAAAACTAATTTTTGGTTTCCATTTTTTACTTCCATCTTTTTTTCTCCATGGTGTGTCCCTGAAAGGGAGTTTCGGACTTTGGTAATTGAGATGGTGATGGCCACGGATATGTCCTGTCATTTCCAACAAATCAAAGCGATGAAGACTGCTCTCCAGCAGCCGGAAGCGTGAGTGGGCCTGTGACGTCATGTGTTTTGTGTTTTTATAGATGTTTGAACTAGTACCGTCCACATTGTTGCACCTTTAAAGCATACCTCCTTCAGAGAATTTCATTGAATGGTCTCATAGAGTGGAGATGTTTAGAGCAGAGAGCATGAGAATTGTACATGTCACAGATAGGTTCTCACTGGGGTTGAAATAAATAATAGGGCTGGTAACAATTTGCCCCAATTAGAATTTGAATATATTTCCTGTGGGAAACTAAATCATCAAAGATCCACTCAATGTGAAGGCAACAAATAAAATCAGTGAGTGACCCTTGGATTCTCGTTGTCTTTTTGAATGATGCAGCCATTCCACAAATAGTTTTGAGTCAGTTTTTGAGGTGTCTGGTTCAATAAACGTGGAGACCAAGCTGATGAATATCCCAGGTGTAGGATGAAATGATCCCTTTCCCCCAATTCGGCTGAAGTGGGGTTTGAGATGGGAGAATGGAAGGGATTAAAAAATTAATGCTTTTTTAAAACTCTTATTGACATTCTGAAAGTTTGGTCATCATGTGATTGGGTTTACAGAATAGAAAAACCGAAAGCATTATCCCTGATGTTGCACACAGCAGACATTAGCCATCCAGCAAAAGCGTGGGAGCTCCATCATCGCTGGACGATGTCACTCCTGGAGGAGTTCTTCAGACAGGTACCTTGTTGTTATGCTACCCCTAAGGCTGTCATCACTGGATATTTTCTGAATTTTGTATTTCAGCAATGCTGTGATAAGGACTCTAGAGATTACAATAACATTCTCTGGGGAGAGAGGGTTCGCAGCTTTTTTTTTTTGCCTCCTGGTCGTGCGATGTTTGAATCTTACCTAAATTTTGATTCTCAGAACATTATGGTATTTCTATTGTATGCATTTCTTTTTGGAAAAAAAGCATTTCCAGAAAAAAAGCATTTCCTTTTGACAGTCTTTTGTCAAAATGTCATCTGGTTACTTTCCCTTTTACTTTTTTTCTAATGGGTTGACCAGATGATGGTTGCTTTGACATCGCCCTGTGGGATTAAGATGTTAATCTTTAATGTTTCTGTTATAATTGGTTAGGTTGTTTCTTTTGAGCAAATAAGTCATGTTGTCAAATTCCAAAGCCAAGTGTGGCAGTTTGGGGTCAGGAAATCACTAGAAGCTACTGTTCCAATTATAGTTAGACTTACTACCTCCTAAGACACAGGGTTGTGTTTTCTACAAGAATAGCCAGAGTCTTTAATGAGTATACAGTGCTTTAAAATTAAAAAAAAAAAAAGGTACACAGAAGAAGAGATAGAAAGGGAAATAAAGACGTAGCACTAAGACAAATGTCTTCTCAAGAAGAGCTGCCACTAAAACGTCTGTTTCAAGACATGACGTCCTGAGGTTGAGGGCAAGATGACGTGTAGATTGTGGGACCTAAATTACTGTTAATTCAAGTTAATATAGTTAATTCAGTTAATTTTTGTTAATTCAAGAAGGAAGATTCACATCATGGATTCAGAGACCTCTGAGATTCCATAAAACACTACTTGTTAACACCAGTCTCAACTGTCCTCAAACTAACAAGAGATATGCTCTTTCATTGGTTATTTGGATTTTTGGAAGCAAATTACTCCTATGATTACTCTTATTCTTATGATTCTAGTTTGAATGGAGAAATTGTAGAAGGCATCTATGTGTGTTTTTTTCTTCTGAAAGTGTATACAATGTCTAGGTGGGGCTAGAATTAACATCACATTAAACAAAGTCCTGAAGGCCCTCTATCAGAGTTTTTATTTTAACTGGTTTGTGGCCTGAGACCAATCAAATCACTCCTCTAGTTCCCAGTGGTCTTATCTGTGATTTGTTTTTTGGTGGACCGGGGGGATATGGGGGAAGGTTGGACCAGGTGTTTTGTTATGGTCCTCCCAGCATTAAATGTTCTACGTTTCCTTCCTTCTGTCCGTGGGAGCACATCAACACATGCATACATACAAGTACCCCAAAGCTGTTAGATGAATACACCAGCAGGTACCCTATTCAGCATATGGCTGTTTTCTCTTACAAGGTGATGGCTTGGCCTTACAAAGTAGTTCTCAAGGAAGCCAATGGTATGAGAAGAACTAGAGCTTTACAGGTGTGGCTCTGTTGTATATACAAGAATGATTATGTAAATCCATCCTTAATTGAGGGCTAATTTTGAGCCATTTTTCCAGAAGCTATTTTTCTAACATTAGTGAGGGGATTTTTCTCCAGATATCCACTCCCCTTATCATATGCTTTCTTTGATATTGCTTTTGCAATAACACCTCCTACAGCTAGGAATATTTAATCTGTAGCCAAAGGTGGATCATAGTTAACTCATATAAGTTTGAGGCATTGAAGCAATTCCTTTTTTTAATTGTGAGAGAGTGAATATGAGAAATTATTTAATATGTGAACATTTTTTCCCGTAAAGGAAATCTTGTTTGCGTACACATGTGCTTGAATTGAATGAAAATGTGCTAGAGGCATAGTGAAAATAACCATATTGAATTTCCTGCCTATTGGGAATGGAATGTTAGCTCATTGGACTGGAACTATTTTTTAGTAATTATGATTCAGTAAATTATTTTTATTGACTTAATATTTTAACCCAGATGCCATAAGCCATTGTAAGTAACCCGTGTAGGAGAAATGTTGCCTCAGCTCTTAACTATAGATCTTAAATTGGACACTTCAAATGGGAAATCTCAATGGGACTGTAGAGTCTTTGAAAAAATTACATTTGGAATAGTTGGGTTATATTTCAAAATAAAGGCCACAGCCTCAGTGCTGATAGACCAGACCTTCCATGCTTTGCTAAAAGAGCCAGTACATCTTCAGTTTTATAACCATATTTTACAAAATCCAAGCTACTGCCTCAGGGTGCTTTTCAATGAAATATTGACTTTAAAGAAATATAAGTTTGCCTCTTTGGTAAATACTTGTTGTAAAAGTGCTGAAGTTCATTTCCTTTGTATTGCTCTATATTTTTATATTTTACAATTCTTTTAATTTCCTCTGTGTCTGTGGTTATTTTCCCATTTTTATTTTTCATTTCATAGTTAGTGGTTTTTTTCCTCTTTCTTCTCTATGAAATTAGCTGATCATTTGATTATTTTATTTCTTTTTTATTTTATAATATCTTAATTGATGTTTTCATTTTTATTAATTCATTCTTCTGCTTGAGTTTATTTTGTTCTTTTGCTAACTCCCTGAGTTGGATGCTCAATTCATTTATTTTCATTCTGCTTGTTTAATATCAGGAAATATAAGGCTGGGAGTTCGTCTTTTTCTTGTCATGAATCTCCTAGATTCTGATGTGCAGTGTGTTCACAATCATTCTTTTCTAAATATTCTGTAATTTTGATTTAGATTTTTATTTTACCAAAGATTTGCACCGTAGACGTGTTTGTTTATATAATTTTCCAGTGATAGTTTCCTTTGCTTTCTAGTTTTGTATTTAATATGTGGCATACTGCAATTTGATCAGGATTTTTTCATTGTTTGGGTTTTATTGTGAAATTCATTTGTCACCTACTGTGTAATCAATTTTTGTGAATGTTCATGGCTCTTGAAAAGTAATTTATCTCCTACCTGCTGAGTATAGAATTCAAAGAACACCAGGTACGTCTACCTTACTAATTATGTTATTTAGGTATTTTATATATTGTTTTTAAAAATTTGATTGATCATGGGTTGAAAATATTGACCTCTTTAGTAAAGAGGAAGTGTATGAATAATTTCACAAGGGCCATTAGTTATAAAGTCATACAATGTTGTGTCAATCAAGTTGGATTCACCTGTAGAAGTACATTCTTCCATATTACTTTTTGCACATTTTTTTCCAATTAATAAATGTATCTGTCCTCCAAAGAGAATTCAGTGACTGCTGTTTTAAAATAGGCTTTTGATAGTTGAGTCCACTCAGCTTAATTAAATCCAAAAGATGTAAGTGATGTGTGGATGTAGGTATGGGCAAGTCCATAGGATAAGAAATTGTTTAATATCATGCACTTTTTCAGTAATAAAATCCAAATTAATGCTTACATCTTAACAGTCAAGTGGTTAGAGTTCTTCCCTCTTCTTCTAAACCATCCCCATTAAAATGTACCAACAAAACAACTTGTATCCCTGCTTGGTAGGGAATAAGGGTGGGTTTTATTTGTTTTAGCTGAGCTATCCCACTAAACCATTTACACAAGTACAATTTATGTTATAAATACTCTTCATACATGCCCAGGTAGAAATAGCTAGGGAGTAAATTATTTTTATCATGCTACTTGAGAGAGAGATCAGTCCTTAGCAAGCATATTCAGAAAGAGAGGCGCCATTGTGTCCCAAGGGGTGTCTATACAGGAAAGGGTGCAGAAGGAACCAAGCCACTTCAGGACTGTTCTGAGACTCTTGGATGTCCCCAGTGCCCATTGTGGCCCCACTGTTCAGCTTCCTCAGACGCCCATTCCTTTTCCTTCCTTTCAATAAATGGTAAATGTGTGCGTGAGCTAGCATCCTTTCTCTTTGTTAACGTGCCTTAGAAAGAAAAAGCTTTCAGTTTTTGAACTAGGACTGGTTTTTGACCCAGGTTGTTATTACTCTTTATTTACTATTAATTTATTGGTAATATTTATTATTATCAGAGTGTATTAGATGTAACAAATTCACTAAATATTTCTCAAATCTTGACTTGAATATTAGAGATACCTATTGGGAAATGATAATAGTTCTTATTTAGTTACATACATTTTCTCATTTAATCTTCATCATAACCTGATGATGAGAGATTATTATCCCGCATTTTGTAGATCATAAAACTGAAACCTATAGAGGGAAAATAAACTTCCTATGATCACACAGCTAGGGGGAGAAAGGCCAGATTCAAGCCCAAGTTGGTAGCCGTTAACCTAAGCAGATTCTTTGCTAGTAAAATGAACCAGCACAACTTCACTGCTACAAGAAAGGTGACATATTTTCCCTTTTCTCTGTGTGTCTGACTGAAGTATTGAGGTTCCAGTTCAGGTTTTTAAAAACCATCTCCATCATTATTTAGACTTTCCATAGCACTTGCTGATTATTTTGATGCTTTTTGGTCAGATTGAGAATATATTGGCTGGAGAATCTTGTTTTGTTATTGTCTAACTTGAAAACACAAGCAATTATTTACTGTGCTTCTTTTTTGGTCCACTTTTCATTATGGGCTAAGCCCTGAGGTTAAGACCCCAGGAGCACTTACCCTTGTGGTGTGTGGCTTTAGGTAGCACTAAGAGAATAAATCCAAATCAGTCCAGTTTGAGTTTGTGTCTTGGACACTGCCCACAGCTGGGAGGGGTTCACTGGCTCAAGAAAGGCCATAGGTCAACACAGGACAACTCAAAAACACACAGGAATTGTGACTGCAGTGTTGGCTCTAGGCCACAGGACACATTGCTTTTCTTATTTTCCTCGGCGGGCCTATGGCTGCCTGAGGAGGCTTTCTATACGACAGCATGTGCCTTTGCAGTTGGATGGAATGATTGGACCCCAGAGGGCTTCAGCCTCTTGGTGTCTTTTATGCAGAAGAGCAGGCCCCGTAAGGACTTATTACATAATGTAATTGTAATAATTAAAGTAAAGACCAGTGGCCTTCGTGGCAGCTGAAGTTGTTAAATAAAATCTGGGTGGCTCAGCCTACTGTTCTTAATTTACTGTGACTTTCTGTTTTTCTAGGGTGACAGAGAAGCAGAGCTGGGGCTGCCTTTTTCTCCTCTGTGTGACCGAAAGTCAACCATGGTTGCTCAGTCACAAGTAGGTACGTGTTTGCCAGCCCTGTGGATGGAAGGAAAAACCAGAGAGGGATGTCTGGAAGTAAGCTCGGATGCTCCCAGTGCTTCTTTGGCTGGGAACCTGGCTCCATTCTGCTATGCTGTGCTCATGGCTTTGGCTGGTTGGGTTGATGGAGCTGCTCCCCCCATCCTTCTCCCTGGAATGTGGCTGGTTCATGGGAAAATTAGACAGTGATACTCTGCTATCTCCATCATTCCCTGCCAAGAGAAAAAGGGGTCTCAGTCTTCCAAGGTGATGACAAAAATCAGTGGTAGGAAGCCCATTCTGTTTCAGCCTCTCCATTCTGTATGCAATACCGGAAGTCTCCATGGCATTTCTCCTCAACAGGTGCTTCCTCCAGCCCTGATCCCAGGACAGCACCATTTCCTGAATGATCCTACTTCTAGAAATGGCTCCTTTTAAATATTTCCTTCCTTTCTTCCTTTTAAAAAACTTTTTAGCATCTTTTGTTTTTTTTTGGTAAGAATAACTTTTGCACTGCCGATAACCATAATATATGTGCGTTACAGAAATTCTCAGATATGCAAGAGGGTACTGGTGCCATACATAAATTAAACATCATCAGTGATCTCCACCTTGGAAGAGTCAGAAATCATTCAAAAAATAAATTCAACAAAAATTTATTGATTTTTTTTCCACTTGTGTTTTGAGTACTTATTCATTTTTTTCATGATAATATATTAAGTCGTTGTTAGGTGTAAGGTGCTGCTAGACACTATAATAGATCTTATAAAAACAAAGACAAATTATACACGTTACCTGCTCTCAAAGACATTGAACCAGTATTGGATGGTAGACAAAACATTATGAAAACAAAATCTGTTAGAGAATGACAGGGCTAAGGTAGAGTTTTGTACGTGGTACAATCGGGTACAGAACAGAGTGTGTGAACCGTTAGATCCAGAAAGACTTGTTGAAGAGTAATATTCAAGTTGAAGAGATAAGTAAGTGATAAGTAGGCAGTGTCTAGGCAAATGGTAATATGTGTTAGAGGTATGTTAGGGGTGGGTGGAAGAGAATTCCAGACAAGGGATTAGCATATACTAAGCAGGGAAATTTAAAACAGCCTAGTATGGTAAGGGAATTACAAACAATTCCCTATGGCTGGAGTAGTGGAGAGGAATGAAGGGAGTAGGGAGTAGAATGAAGTGAGGGACATGTTTGGAGAGAAAATCAGACCCAGATTATGTATTGTGTTGAGAATAACATATGCTTATGCTTTCCTGTAGGAAATGAGGGCATATCTAAAGAAGTTTAAGTAAAGTTTAAGAATATATAAATTGATATTTTAGAATAAGATATAGCAAACTATAGTCTGTGTTCTAAATCTGGCCCACTACTTGATCTTGTAAATAAAATTTTATTACAACATAGCTAAGTTCATTTATTGGCATATTGTCTATGGCTACTTTTGTACCACAGTGGTAGAGTTAGGGAGTTGTCATAGATATGGCCCACAAAGCCTAAAATATTTACTATCTGGCCTTTACAGAAAAGGTTTTCCAAGCCCTGTTTTGGAAACATTTCTGTATCAGTAGCTTGGAGGGTTTTTACTAAGACTAGAGGTGAGGAAACCAGCAGGGTGCCTCCTGCAGGATTACAGGGAAGAAATGATGTGTTAGAACTAAGGTAGTACAGGGACTCTCCAGGAAAGAGATGGCATATAAGAATTTAAGGATTCAGCTGGATGCAAAGCTAACGTAAAGGCAGCAACCTAGATTAAGTGGTTGGACCGTGGTCCCATTTATAAGGATTAGAGAGAAAGATGATGAGTTAGTTCTGGTTTGGACATGTTGAATTTAACTAGTGAGAAAAAAAAAGTTGAAAATAGTGTTATCAAACACTTTAGTTTCAGCTTAAAATTGTACCACAATTAACTAGAATACAAATTTGGCTGTCAGTGTTTCCTTATCAGGATACTTTGGGTATTTGATTGGGACAGTTCTTGTTTTGCCAATTATATTATAGGACTTTTAGCATCCTTCACTACTGGGCATTAAATGCCACTATCACCCCCGCCTCAGTCATTGTGAAAACCAAATAGGCATTTGTATATTTCCAAACACCGTATTTCCTTTGATTGGAATTTCGTTTCCTTCCAACTTGCACATGGCTGTGTAATGAATTGCCAACAGTAATTCCAGATCATATATTTTCTCCTGATGAGTCACAGAACACTCGGATATTTCTGAGCTGTTGAGACAGCCACTCTAGCCTAATGTGGCGATTTCTCAAAGGTACCATTCCAGAATGACCCCTCTTCCAGTTTCCAACCTGTTTCTTCCAACCCTGTCTGCCCTCTCCCATCTAGATGTGTCCCCTGTACCTCAGAGTCAGTAGATCTAAGACTGAGCCCATCGTCTTTCTCCTCAGCCACATTCTCCCCCATCATCCCTGTGTTCTCTGCTTTGCTGGAAGTCTCTGGACGATCACACCTAGAGGCAGTACCGCCTCCTGCTGTGCGTGTATCTGTGCCTCCATTACACTCCTAGCTTACAGTGACACTGGATCTCACTTTCCTTACCTTTCCTTTGAGCCATTGCAACAGCTTCTAAAATGATTTTCCCAGCCTCCGCTCCACCTGCTGTCTCCCTTCCCATCCATCTTACCAGATTAATTTTCCCAAAGAACATTTAAAAAATCCTATTACAATGCTGCCCAAACATCTCAAGGGGCTTCTAGTGCCCTTCTAAGTCCCAACTCCTTATCCCGACACTTAGGAGCCTCCCTCCCTGAGCTGATGATGGTCTGAATTCCCAGGCTCTCCCTCCCCAACTCCAAAAGAATCTCTAAGCCACAGTCATTCCTCAGACACGTCCTCCACTTTTTTCTATCCTTGCCACTTTGCTTATTCCACCCCCTCACCTAGAGTGAAGAGACTTAGGGCTTGACTCAAACATCACAGCTTCATAAAGCTGTTCGCAGCCCTCTCAGTGGGAGAGAAAATATCCTCTCTCCCATCCCTTCCCAGGGGCCTTTATTTGGGCTTCTCATTTGGCCCTTTCCATATACTTCAGGGGTCATTTTTGTGCTCAATTAATCTCTCCTATAAACTCCTTGAGGGCAGGCAGGTTGTGTTGTATATCTTAGCATTTTACGTAGCATCTATCACAGCGTTTGTTACACAGCGGATGTTGAACATATATTTCTTAAGCACTTCACTGGACTATCTACTAAAAAGTCATAGGAAAGTTATATAGGAGAAATGGAACTGACTCATGATATTCAAATCAAGGAATATATTAAATGAATAAGACCAAACTATTTTCTTCTCATCTGATCTGGAGCTCCTGCATAGATGAATTTTAAAAGAAAGATGCGACTCATCAGTTTCCGGGGGAAAATATGGAAATGCCCAAGTTAATATGTAGTTCCTCTGAAGCATTGCTGTTTCTCTTCAGGTTTTATTGATTTCATTGTGGAACCCACCTTCACTGTGCTCACGGACATGACTGAAAAGATCGTGAGTCCGTTAATTGATGAGACCTCCCAAACTGGTGGGACAGGACAGAGGCGATCGAGGTCAGTGGAGAAGCTTCTCAGGTTGGTCTGTCCAAGAGGGCAGAATTCTTCTTTTGGAAGGGGTGGGGGTGGTATTTCATAATGATGTTTGCCCTACCTCCTTCTTATAAGAGAGATGTCTGCCTCTTTCTTTTTCTCAGTGGAGTTGCAGTTGTACTACCTGCACTTTCCAGGCTGGCCTGGAAAGGAATGACCGAGGTCCAAATCGTGACCGGCAGGTCCCTGGTACAGCCCCAGTCCTGTTCTCTCTCTTGGTGCCCTTGCTCATGGCAGCCCCAGTCACTGCGCTTTTACCTGCTGTGCCCGGGCAGTCCTCACTCCTGATACTCCAAAAGGAAAGTACCACTGATCAGAGTTATCACAAGAAATGAAACTGACTTTCATTTCTAGGTTCAGGAAGAGAATGAAGTGGAGAAAAAACAGCTGAAATTTTAAATCGCCTTCTGCCGCAACATCATTCTATTGAGCGTAGGTTAGTAGTTAAAGCGTACAGGCTCTGGAGTCAGATTGCCAGGGTTGAACATCCTCATCCCATCGCTTCTTAGCTGTGCAATCTCAGGCAAGTTGCCTCAGTTTCCCCATCTGAGAAAATGTGGATTATAATACTCATAGGTTGCAGGGAGGATTAAATGAGTTATTCAGTCTACGTAAAGCCCTTAGGACAAGGTCTAGCACAGAGGAAGTGCTAATACGATAAAGCTAACACTTAGTCTTTATTCATAGTACTACTGCTGGTGGTACCTTGGCTTTGTCATAAAGGAGAAAGGAGAGAAATGGAATGAATACGAAAAAGAGAAGAAAAGAGCAAAAGAAGAAATAAATAGAGAGAAGGGAAGGCAAGAGGAATATTAGGACAGTGGGACTCCAGAGATGCTCAAGGAGGATGGAACCAGTCAAGGCTGCTAACAAGGAGGACCGAGTCCCACAGCCCCACAGCTCTGCAAGCACTGGGCTGAAACTCCTCTGCTTATCTAGTCAGCCTTAGTTGTCATTCAGTGGGTTTGCATTCATGTCAGTCACTGCTTTAGCCATCTGGAAGTGTATGATACTTCTTTAAAGTTACCCAGAAGGATGGCACTTTCTATATTTGCAAAGTTGCCTATGTTTAAAGCTTAAAGTAATATTTATACAAAAAAAAAAAAAGGGCTCTTGCATGAATGATCTCCCATAATCTTCAAGCTATCTGTGCTCCTCCTCCTGCCCCCAGGAACATAAGGAAATCACCTTATCCTGGCCTCGGGGATCCTGGGATCAGAGGCACCCAAGTACAGGGGGAGGTGTAGAGAAAGTACAGGGGGAGCTGGAGAGAAAGAGGAGCAGGGGTTCTGGATAACTTGGAATCGTGGTCATTGTGGAAGCAAATGGGTGGACTGTGGAACCGAGTAGAAGTCCAAGTTCAAATTAGTTAATTTCAGAGAGTAGAGAACAGAAAATTCATGTGAGGAGATTCTAGTCATATTGAAAAAGAGAGGAGACCAATCAACAGAGAAGAAATTTGGGGATTATTGATACTCAAGGCCAAAATCTTGATTTTTTTTTTTTCCTGCTGAAAATACAGAATTTCCCACACATCACATATGGAAAATAGGATAATTACAAGCCTCAGGACACAGGAATCTCACAGCAATAACTTGATGAGTGCTATGCACTCCTCTCTTGGGCTTGCTCGTTGGCATACATTTTCCAACACTAACCCTCCTCTTTGGTGTGATTTTTTTCCTCCAGTTTGAACAATATCAGTTCAGCAGGTGCAAAGCGGTCGGGTGTCAAGAGCACTGGCTCAGAAGGAAGTGCCCCAATCAACAATTCCGTCATCCCTGTTGACTATAAGAGTTTTAAAGCCACATGGACTGAGGTGGTGCACATCAACCGGGAGCGATGGAGGGCCAAGGTGCCCAAAGGTAACATGCTCCTGGGGAATCTTCCAGGAGACTTGTCCAAACCACTCAGCACCCACTCATGAAACAAGGCGTTGCCACCCCTGATTTTAAGTGTTACAAATGAAGCACAATCTCAGGATATAGATTCAAATTGCTGAACATTAGAATCTACCCTCTTTTGATCTTCCTTATATCTAAAACTCAAGCATGATAGAATGGTGCAGACCACCAAGCCTTTTGACGCTTGACCTTTGTGCTATATGACTAAACTCCTTTTCTTGGGATGAAGATTCTACAGAGGATGGGTGTTGTTTTTTCTTGGTTTCTGCTACACCATCTTGTCATTGTCATTTCATGTCATGTGGCATGATTATGAGGCCTTTATTCCTTCTTTTATCCAAGTAAAGCCTGGCCAGTAGCCATGTCGGCCATTATGTTGGGGTAGAAGGAGCTTAATTTCCTTACCTGCATTTTTATCTTCCTTTCATGTTCACAATTTCCCTCCAGTTGTTACTCAGACTGATCTTCTGAGATGAAGGTAACTTCCAGGTAAACAGAAATTTGCTGACGCAAACATCATCAAAATTCAGATCAGAAAAGTCATGATTCTTGGTATTATACACAAAAAATGGCTGGAATCCGCGTATCTCTTGAAAGCTGAAATTCATTTGTTCATATGTGCTCATTTGTGTTTATTGACCACGTACTATGCGATCAGCACATACTGTGTGCTCGTGCCGTAGTCTCGGTCAGGACACATACTTGAGAGAAGGGGTATGAGGCTGTGAGGCCTGATTCCAGGGAGGGACACAGACCTGGATGGCTCTTGGTGCCCGATGAGGGGCTGATCCCAGTGGATTTTGTGGAGGTGAGCCTTGACGAGCAGTCAGTTTTTGCTGACGTGTACTGTGTGTCAGGCTCTGTGATCCATGCCAAGGGTGCAGAGATGAGTAATAGACATCCTTGTCGTCAAAACTCATAGTCTGCAGGGAAGGGACGTTATTACAGTTTCTTTCAAAGGAATAATAGGGGTTCAGTCAAGGCCTTGCACTGGTCGCCAGCACCCACTGGCTCTGAGCCCCAGACCCTTATAACAGGCAAGGAGAGTTTTAGCCCCAAACACAACACCCCACACTTTTATCCACCCAGTGTCCACACAAGTGAGAAGAATGGTAGGAGGAGTAGCCAGGCAGAGCATGTTCTGGCAGTCTTGGTCCCTCTTACATGAGGGGGCTGCTTCTAGGGTGGAGAGAAGAGACCTAGACAGTTGGAATTATTCAAAAGCCAGTTATTCAACCATTGTGATTTGTCTACAAAATCCTGTCCAAGTGGCTGCTCATTTCAGGTAGGGCAAAAGGTTTATATTTATGGCACTTTTAAGGCATAATTGGGCCCTTATCATTTCGGGACAGGTGTTGCACCCTGAGCTATGGAGGGAGCCAATGCCTCTTCCATATTTTCAGTATAGCCTCTCAGTCTATTCAGATGCTTTAAGCATTGAAATCTTCGGGCCGGCCCCGTGGTTTAGCGGTTAAGTGCTCGCGCTCCGCTGCTGGCGGCCCGGGTTCGGATCCTGGGCGCGCACCGACGCACCGCTTCTCCGGCCATGCTGAGGCCGCGTCCCACGTACAGCAACTAGAAGGATGTGCAGCTATGACATACAGCTATCTACTGGGGCTTTGGGGGAAAAAAAATAAATAAATAAAATTAAAACATTGAAATCTTCCCTGTTGGCAGGCGTTGTAAGCAATGATGGCAGCTACTGCATCATCTCAAAAGAAGCACACTCTTATAATCAATTACACTCATTACACTTGAAAATCCAATTCCTGACAACACGCAATTTAAAGAGGTACTTCAAAATTTGTTTGCAACTATCTGGCTTACTAAAATTACCTTCTGAAACTAATCACCTGAGGGAGCATTAGATAGTTTCTTTTCCAGGGCAAACTGGCCCTTTAAAAATGACAGATAACTAAACACTAATAATTTAAAAATATGTTAGGTATCCTGGTAGAGATATGCTTAAGCTATTTACAGAGAATAAAGGGACTTGTCCCTCACCCTGCTTGGGGCATTTGGGAAGGCACCTTGTAGCCAGGACTTGAAGGATGCCTGGGGTTGAGCCCTGAAGGAGGTGTTGTATTTAGAAATGAGAAATGAGAAAGGGGATGGACAAAGGCACAGAGCCTGTGGGAGGATAGTTTAGGTATCAAAGAAAGTTTCAGTTAGTGGGGAAGAGGGAGAATTGAATCCCTACTTGCAGTGTGTGCTCTTTGGCCAATTCAGGTAGATTCTTTGAGAAAATTCCCTTTTGAGGATAATACACATCATGGAGTTGATGCAACGAATAGAAATAATATACATAAAGCACTGAGAAGAGAGCCCGCACATGGTTAGTGCCTGGTGCATGGTAGCTGTCATTTTAAAAAATTGGAAAACAAAGTTAGAGGTTTGAATGCAAAGTTGAGAAGATGGTGGTAAAAAAAAACCAACCTATAACTAATATTTTATAACATTTCAGCCTCCTAATCACGCTGTTGCCTGATTGGGTGGTGTTAAGAAATTCAGTTGGAATCTGTTTTTCTATTGGTGACCAGTTTGTACTAGATTATCCCAGGCTGTTTTACTCATTGTTCTTTTTTACCAGAAAACTCTGATTTCAAGAAAGCTTGCCCTGCATGGGGCACTGGAACATATGTTGTTATTAAATTGATCAGAAATGGAACTAGATTTAAAATCTTGGTTTTATTAACCAACTTGATTTGCAAAACTAGTTAGGCCAGAACCCATAGTTGTTAGGAAAGATTAAATCAATATTTTTTTACAGCTCTTAGGGCTGAAAATCGTTATTCCCAAACAAAGATGTGTAGGTATAATGATTTGCAAGTCTAATCAATATTGATCAATTTCCATGCAATATTTAATACTTTTTAAAATTTTTTTCTGGTATAAGAATAATATTTGTTTAGGTTACAATGCTGAAATATAAATAAAATATATAAAGAAGACAATGAAAATCACTCATAAACTCTCCAGCCAGATATAACCATTGTTGAAATTCTGACATAATTCGTTTTAATTTGATTTACTATGCATATATATAAGTAAAAATTTTCCCCATAAATTGAGATCATAGTATAATATTGTCTTGTATTTTGCTCTTCTATTTCTATTTTGAGCATTTTATTCTGATCCTGAATATTCTTAGAAAGTATGATTTAAATAGCTACATCGTGTGTAATGTTGTAGTTGAACCATTCCTATGTTACTGAGCATTTTGGTTTCCAGCTCTTCATTATTGTATACGGAAATGGTCCCTGACTTGTGATGATTTGACTTACAATTTTTCAGCTTTACGATGATGCAAAAATGATAAGCATTCAGTAGAAACCATACTTTGAATTTTGAATTTTGGTCTTTTCCCAGGCTCGCGATATGCGATACAATCTCTCGTGATGCTGGGTAGTGGCAGGGAGCCCCAGCTCCCAGTCAGCCACAGGATCATGAGGGTAAACAGACAATTCACTTACAACCTTTCTGTACCCATACAACAATTCTGTTTTTCACTTTCAGTACGCAATAAATTACATGAGCTATTCAGCACTTTATTATAAAATAGGCTTTGTGTTAGATGACTTTGCCCAACTGGAAGCTAAGGTAAGTGTTCTGAGGAGGTTTAAAGTAGGCTAGGCTAAGCTATGGTGTTTGGTAGGTTAGGTATAGTAAATGCATTTTCGACTCATGATATTTTCAACTTACAATGGGTTTATAGGGATGTAACCCCATCATAAGTTGGGGAAGATCTGTATAACATTGTTATGAACATACAAGTTCAAAAGTCTTTGAGCCTAGGGTCAAGCCTGGTGGTGCAGCGGTTAAGTACACACGCTCCGCTTCAGCGGCCCCAGGTTCGCAGGTTCGGATCCTGGGCGCGCACTGATGCACCGCTTGTCAAGCCATGCTGTGGTGGCGTCCCATATAAAGTAGAGGAAGATGGGCACGGATGTTAGCCCAGGGCCAATGTTCCTCAGCGAAAAGAGGAGGATTGGCATCGGATGTTAGTTCAGGGCTAATCTTCCTCACACACACACAAAAAAAGTCTTTGAGCCTACCTCTATTTATCTAGGATAAATTTCTAGATGTGAAATTCCTCTCTCAAAGTAGATGGAAAATTTTAAAGCTTTTGATATATATTATCAAATTTCTCTCTGTAAAGTTTTTGTTTTTTAACCAATGTTCTCTGGCAGTAGAAGTGTAGGAAGAGTGCCTATTTCCCTATATTTTTCCCCCTCTTCATTTTTCCCATTAGGATGTTTATATTTTTAGTATTGATTCCTAATAACTCTTTATACATTAAGGATGGTAATTCTTCAGTGGACAAAATATCTTGCAATTTATGCCCTACCTCAGTTTGTCATATGCCATTTAAGTTTGTTTATGGTCTTTTTTATACATCCTATTTTTATTTTACTAGAGATCACCTTTACATTTTTTATTGAATTATGTCTCTATCAACGCAAATATGAAATAGTACATAGTGAAAGTCTTTTACAAATGCTGAGAAATTTATTGAATTTTTACTTAATTCCTCCATCATTACTCAGTTTTTATTGAAATAATATGAGATTTTCAATCTAGATGATTGTAAGTTATTTTATAATTAACTTATCCTTTAATATTATTTTTAATATTTGCATCGTTTTATGTCTAGATTAAAAACAATTATTGTTATCTAACACTAAGATTTACTGGTTTTATTGCACTTTGTTAACATTTTCCCTATTCTTCAGTTTTTAATATTGATTGAATTTTTCTATCAGCTGGAGCACTTCTTTGGCTAAAATTTTCAGAAAGGTCTTGTGGGAATACCTTCTGAGTCCTTAGATGTCTAGAAGTACCTTTCTGTTGCTCATGTATATAATTGAGAGTTGACTATTCAAAATTCATATAGTATTTTGGTTGTTTTTTTTTAGTCAGTCAGTTTCTCTCCTTTTCTCTCTTCCTGTTTGTGGGTAGTTTAAGTAGGCATTTCAGAAAATTATATCAAGGGATAACAAGGCCAATACCATTTTCATCCAAGAACCTATAGTATCATTATTCCAAAAGGCAAATTAAATGAAGAAATCAATGTATTTCTCCAAGACTGCACAGACATTCAGTGTGGAATAGAACCAGCTCTATGGAGGCATGTAACTTATGGATCATGAGGGCTCTGCTCTACCTTAACTCTGTATCTGCTTGCTTTTGGCCATTTTCATAATGAGTCACGTCACCACAGAAGGTCTTAAATGGAAATAAGAAGGAAATGGGATTGAACAGTGATGTTTGCTTCCTACTAGTCTAGAAGCCTAGGAGTGCTATGGATGTTAAATCGAAGGCCTGAAAGTTAATTCTCTGTACATATGTCATCATTGGAACCTGTTAACATGTACAAATTAATTGTGCTCTCACCTACTTTTTCTCATTGTAGGCAAGTTTTATGTATATTAGTAATTTCACTCTGAGAATATAAAGGAATCTGATTACAGCAGAACAGACGTACCTCCTATTGATTTATTTTCTTTTTTCTTGTTTATGTGTTTGCTTGTAGACAAAAGTCTACTCGTTTTAAGTAGTACCACTGGGTGCTGATGGCTGATCACACTAATAGCAGATATTCCAGAAATACTAGAAAGAGATGGAAGTAGAGTGGAGAAGTTAAGGAACGTGGTAGAGCCGCCCGCTGGAACCCGATTGCTGCGGGGAAAGGAATCATATAGTGGGGCAGGTTCATATTGGATCTGACTGTGATGTCATAAGAGCTACTATTCATTAATTTAAACATTAATTGCCTGCTGTCAGCTGTAGATGAGCAAAAACAGATTTGTTTCTGAGATGTGCCTCCCCCAGTTTTTATTTTTTCACTAGATTTTCCGTAGAAAATTGGTCTGACTCAGTTGTCAAATGAATTTTTCTTGCTCAGATAGTTTATGCTCTTTCATAGCAAACCAGAATTTAACACCCTCAGCTTTTATCAAAATTACTTTTAACTTGGGGATATTTTGAACGTTGAAAGTTGCTACAAATTCAGGGGGGGTTCCGGGAGAGGATTATAAATGATTTTACCTCATGCCTGAGTGTGAATGAATTCTCCTCCTCTTTGCCTTACTTCCCCTCTCTGTGTAGTAAGCACTGTCATCTTTGTACTCACCTACATTAGTGGTTAAGGAAACTAACATTTGTCAAATGACTAACTCTTGTAGGATAGGACTTTAGACATTGTATACTTTTCATATTTTCCACCAGTCTAGATTGCTGGGGATAGAATATGTACAAGTCAGGTTCATTGGCAGATAAGGTGAAGCAGACTCGTTATGTACATTTCATTTAGTCAACAAGTACTTCATGAGCATCCGCTATGTGCCAATGCTGTACCAAGCACTGGGAATTCGGTGATGGAGATGACATTAGACCTTTCTCCTTGGGGCACTACAGAAGGATGAGGGGAAGTCTGGATGAACAGTGTAGGGGGCCTTTTGTGGCCCTACGGTCTACTGAGAATGCCATCTCACTATCATCTTCTGCAAGGGGATTCTTTTACTCTTTGGTTGTACTTTCTGTAGAAGTCAGAAGACATGCTATACTATATATGCACATAATTATGTTATTTTGTAAAGACATCTTTCCTTACTTTTTCATTGTAAATTATAAATACATCCTGCTGGGAAGTAGAATGTCACAAAATACTGAATGGCAAACATTTAAAATTTAAATCAACGCCTGTCAACCTTGATTGTGTGTTAGAATCATCTGGAGAGCATTTAAAATATCCTATTCTTGCCCCTTCCCCTCCACATCTGATTTAATTTGTCTGGAGTGAGGCCAGGGCATTGGTTTGGATGTGTGGATAGATAAATCAATGAAAGGATGAATGAAACTTCATAATATATTAAGGAGGACATCTGAGCCAGGAACTATAAGGACAGGAAAAGTAAAATGAAGCCAAAAGTCATAGACATCCGCAAAATACAGTGCCATAAAGCCCCAGGAACGTGTGAACCTGGGCCACATTTGGGCTTTATACCCTCTAGCAGCCAAAACAAAGAGAAACGATCACATGCGTAACCACTCTGGTACCCATTAGGTTAAAAACAAACTTGTTGTCTATGAAAGCTAGCTTTTCTCAGGACCAAGACTAACCAAGGGAAATAAAGAGGACTTCTCATAATGAGATGTGGGACATTTTTAACACATCTAGAGAAAAAATGCAGTGATGCTTTGTAAAATTTGTAAAATAGGGTTACAATAATAGTAGCTGCTACGTGAGGTTTTGAGAATGAAAGGAAGCACCTCTTGAAAAGCACTTAGCGTAATAGCTGATATAGAGGACACACTCAAGAGAAGCTATTGATGACAATAATAATATTAACAATGCCAATTACAATATTGGTTTGTTAATTATTATCCTTATTATTACTTTTTCCCTGCTCCTCCTTCTAAGCCACTGTTTTCAGAAATGACATCAGTATGAACCGGTTTTATTGATTTCCTGAATATACATACCAACCTGACTTGAATTAACCAAAAATATACTCGAAAGACTCAGTAAACACCTTAGGTCATTTCAGTGTATTAATTCCCAGTGCAAATACTTGTTTTTGTTCAAAGAGGCAATTCTCCTAATGTCATGACCTCTCTTTATCTTTTCTATGCCTTTCCTAACTTGCCACGGGTGCAGAGGAGAAGGCCAAGAAGGAAGCAGAGGAAAAGGATCGCCTGGCCGCAGAGGAGAAGCAAAAGGAGATGGAAGCCAAAAGCCAGACTGAAGGCGCAGCTGGCAAAGCTGAGAAAAAGACGTCGGGGGAAGCTAAGAATCAAGTCAGTGGAACCCGCACAAACAGAAGCGACAAGCCTCTGGGGAAGAATTCCAAAGCTGAGAAGCCGTCAGGAGAAAAGCAACAGAATGGTGAGCAGAATTGTGCTGGAGAAAGGCTCTTTTCGGGGTGTTAGTGACGTGATGAATGGAAACTGGCGAACAACTGCACCTATGAGGACGGCTCACAGGGCAGGGCTTCCCTGAGCAGCCAGCTGCTGCTGATTGCACCTCACTGGGCTGTGGATCCCATTAGGAGCCCATCAAAAGCAGCCAGAAGCTTCCTTGGGCCATTCTGTGTGGGGAGAATAATTCATTTTGGGCCCTTCCCAGCTGTTCTGGAGACTCTAGCTGTGTCTGCCTACCCACTGGGGAAATTACTGTTAACAATCCCAGCACATTCCTGAGTGCTTACTGCCAAAATGGGTGAATGGAAAGTCAGGCTTCCATATGTACCATTCCCCTAGCAGGGCTGGGCCTCAAGTCTGCCTAGGGTCTGTTCCTGTAGTAGGTGTCTATATATCTGTAGGTGAATGTGTACATTAAGGTAACCTGGGACTGAGGGGTTTCCTGGGATGCAGGGCTTCCACTTTTAAAACCAGAAAAGTTCCAGGCTGACTGGGATGAGCTGGTCACCATCTTGTGCATAGAGTTGATGATTTCTTGTATTTAATGAAACAAATATTTACTGGTTAACAACTATGTGCCAAGCACTGTGGTTGAGACTGAAAATTTAGAACTGGAAAGGCCACAAGATGTCCACAATCTCACAGGGCATATGGACATCCTCAGAAATAATTCTGAGCAAGTAACAGTAGTGGCACGGCAGATAAAATGCCCAAGGGACAGGTGCAAAAAAGAGATGTTAGCTTTGCTGAGTCTGGGGATTGCGAGATGCAGTAAATGTCAAAGAAAGATTCAAGAGGAGGTGATGTCTGAGCTGAGTTTTGTTTTGTTTTCTTGAGGAAGATTGGCCCTGAGCTAACATCTGTTGCCAATCTTCCTCTTTTTTTCTTTTTTCTCCCCAAAGCCCCAGTACATAGTTGTATATCCTAGTTGTAGGTCCTTCTAGTTCTTCTATGTGGGATGCCGCCTCAGCATGGCTTGATGAGCGGTGAGTAGGTTCGCACTGAGGATCCGACCTGGTGAACCCCGGGCCGGTGAAGTGGAACGTGCAAACTTAACTGCTATGCCACCGCGCTGGCCCCAGAGCTGGGTTTTAAATGCTGAAGTTTGCTCATCAGATGGGAGGCAGGGACTTCTCAGCCAGAGAGAACAAGATGAGCTAAGGCGCAGGGGCATGGAATTGCTTACCTTGTTTACGGAAGAGCAAGAAGTCCAGAGTCTCTGGAGGTTTCAGATGCCAGGTTGTGGCAAGGTAGTTTGGCAGCCAAGCAGAGCTGGATTCAAGTCACAGCTGTGCCTCTCACTCCTTGGGGGCCTTTGCCAGGTTACTTAACCTTCCACTGCCTCTGGAAAATGTTCATAAAAATACCTACTCACAGCAGGGGCTACTTGTGAGCTTCTAATAATAATAATGATAGCAAAAACAACAAAGATAATAAATAGCATTTATTGACGATATACTGGATGCTGTTTTAAGTTCTTTCTTTACATATTCCTTCTCTTACCTGCCTGGCAGGGCCAGGTGACCTACTCTGAACCATGCTCTAGCTATTATGCTACATAGCCTGGGTGAATGAGAATTATGTAGAAAGTGCTATAGCACAACACTCTCTAATTATTTTTGCAATCAACATACGTAGCATGTAGAATCAGAAAACAGTATTTTAATACATATAATGATGATAATAGCTGATATCATGTTCCAAGAACTTTGCACAAATTCCCTCAGGTAGCCCCCATGACACCCTAGGAGGCAGGGAAGGCTGTCATCTGACTTGTCCAGCCCCTCAGCAGCCTGGTTCTGGAGACTGCTCATAACTAGTTTGCTTTGTGTTCAAGTGCATCATAGTCAGAAAATATGTTCAATCTCATAAGAATTTAAGATATACCTGCTGGAGTTTTAGAGGGCAGTGCAAAACACCCCTTTTCCCCTCCTGAGATCACAACCAACTGAGAGAGAGATACGAGAATCAGAAAGTCAGTGATCAAAATATTATCTCCGCTGCAACTAGAGCTGAATTGGAAAGTGTGGACTTGGTCAGCTGAGCACAGGCTTCTTCACATGTCTGCCCTGAACTGAGCTTAGCCAACCAGACGCTGGCAGAGCAGGCGCGCTCAGGATTCGTCCCCTCACCCCCATCCCAGCATCCAGCAGGCTGCTTCTGCAGGGACGGAAAAAGTGTGTGTCTTGTGGAAAACACATCTCAAAGGGGGCTGGGGGCTGGAGAAATGGGTAGCTGGGCTGAGCTGTGCATACTCAACTCCTCCTTCTAGATGAATCTCTGCTTCCCACAGGAGGAGTATGTAAATAGGGCTGGTGAGAGAGCCAAGATGTGTTTCTTCCCTACTTTTTTTATTTTAGGAAAGTGGGTTAAAAATGTCTTTCCCTTAATAAAAACAGTCATTATAATATCACTAACATTTATTGAATACTTAATAGGTGCCAGACATTGTACATGAGATTTTACCTACATTAAATCATTTAAAATTCCTAACAACTCTGTGAGGTAGATACACTCGTTCCCATTTTCTAACGAGAACACTGAGATTCAGAGAGGTTAAGTCACTTGCTTAAGGTCAAGCAACCACTAAGTAGCCATTTCAGGACAAATTCAGCTCTACGTGAGTCCAAATTCTGTATCCTATAACCAGCATGTTCCTACTATTTGGAAGTTTCAGTGCTATCGGGGAGAATAGGAAATCGGAGAAATATTGAGACTCAGCTACTGTCCACAAAAAGCTTATAATCTCTTTATTCCAGGGGTTGGCATACTTTTTCTGTAAAGGACCAGTGAGTAAATATTTTAGGCTCTGCGGGCCGTTCAGTGTCTGATGCAACTACTTAAAACTGCCGTTTTCTCAGAAAAGCAGCCACAGATAATATGTAAACAAATGAGCATGGCTGTGTTCCAATAAAACATTATTAAAATTCAAATTTGAATTCTATGTAATTTTCATGTCATTGAATATTCATCTCTTTTTTTCAACCATTTAATAACATAAAAACCATTCTTAGTTTGTGGGCCGTATAGGGCCAGGTGTTGGGGCCAAGTTTGGCCCATGGGCCATAGTTTGCCAACCCCTGGTCTGGTCGGGGACAGAAACCATTGAAAGCAATGCTGGTCACAAAGAAGGTTGTAAATTTTACGAGAGAGGTATAAACAAATACCCAGAGAGGGCAGAGGTGGCAATAATTTATTTTGAAGACAATTAGGGGGAAAGCCTGAAAGAAACAAACAGGAGCCTCAGTCTTCAACTAGGTTGGGTTGATCTCACAACTGTGTTTATTTCCCAAGGTAAGCAACAGTCTACCATTTCCCTTAAAAATTAAGTATTAAATGAGAGGTGGGAAAAGAAATCAATTTAGAGCAATAATAAGAAAGGCTAATGGTGGTTTGGGACTGTGTTACAACAGCCTAATTAAAATGATTTATAACTGTACCGAAAGGCTCTTTTGTTTCCCCCGGTTTATTGAATAACAGCTCGCGTCAGCCATTGCTCCATATTCAACCCATGGGAAATTACCTAGTGGATTCTGTTCAAGGAACATCATCAGACAAACGTGTCACTTTCCCGGCACCCTTCTTTGTGGTTGCCCGAGATACTTCCAGGATAGAGCTGAAGAATGTTGGTTAAGTGGAGTTCTAGAGGTTTGGTCTCCTATCAGCAATTATGGGATTCCCCTAAGCTTTGGTCTCCATCAAGGCACTTCCTCTCTCAGCCTCCACAGCCCTGACTGAGGAGTAGACAGGCTGCCCTGGGCTGCTGGCTAGCATCCAGCAAATCGCACTGCTCCTGCTGACTTCCGGAAGACATCCTGGTCTTGCTGCAGCTGTGGGTAAAGCTCCAGTCCAGGGCAACCTTGAAGGTTTAAAGTATTGTGCATTAGGGATGTAAAGGCTCATTTAGGAAAGAAAGATCATTTTTCTGCAGGGAATTAATTTGACGAGAGGGCTCAAGATCCTCGAGTCCATCTCTGGCATCCTTAAAATATGCAAAAGCCGGTAGTATTGGGCTGATTCATAGGACCTCCAAAGGAATCCATCTCTTTTGGCCATTGGTGGTGGTAAAGTGTGATGACCAAGTCGTTCACTTAAACTCATCCTGCTTGTACTCAGGCCCGAGTCAACTCCCCTTCCCCTCAATCCCTCCAGCCAGTTCATCCCATTTCAGAATCAAGAATAAGAGGAAACTTGGAGAGTTTATTGACTCCTAACTTAGTTTGGGATTTGTCAAATTCTATTAAAAGTACTTACTTTGTAGAATATATCACAACCCAAAATGGTCTTGAATTATCCATAGATGATCATTTCCTTGTAAGTCTGTAGGCCAAAGGCATTTAGAGATGGTAACGGTAAACAGAAGCCTGAAATCTAAAACTGAAGCTTCATAGGGAAGTTGCAAAATCTAGTAGTCGGGAGCTTAGCTTCTAGAATCAGCCCCATCTGTGCATATTGTGGTAAGTTACTTTATCTGTGCCTCAGGTTCCATGGCCGTAAGATAGAGATGATGATATGAGTTTCACGTCAATTCTCCACGAGTTGATTTAAGCAGGATCACTTTGTAGAACAGTTGACCATTGTTCAAAAACTGTCAGATGAATGTCTTAAACCAGATCTACAGTAGCCAACAGGAGCAGTTTTGCTACCAGAGGGAGATGCACGTGGAAGGTTAGGGGCAGAGGTGGGAGCCAGGTAGTGTGTGAAACACAGGCAGGCGGGCAGTCCACTGCACTCAGCACAGCTGGACTGACCAATGCGTGTCAGAGTGGCTGCAGTGAAGTCAAGGAAAAGGTCAAACTTGAAAATCGTCTTCAGTCATTTGGTGAGTTAGTTATTCAGCAAATTGATTATTTAGTGAATTAATCTTTGATGAATTTGCCTACTTTCAATAATGGTACCTCCATAATGGGGTAGTTGTAAGAATTTAATGAAATGATGCATGCAAAGCATTTAGCACACTGCCTGGCACAAAGAAAACAACAAAGATAATGTACCCTTCCTACCCTGAGCCCTGCTTGCTCCTTCCTGATTGCAATTATTATTAGGGTCTTTTTGCTTCAATAAGTACCAGTATTTTAGTAGTAATGTATTCTTGGTTTTATGCAGGCTAAAAAGAAAGCTGCCATTAGTAAGATTGGTAAGAAAAATATTCAAAACTTGAGAATAAGGCTAGGGGAAGGGGTGCCATGACCTTTCAAAGTCACACTGGCATACTATTGAACAGACCTGTCCAAGGACTAATTATCTGTCTTAGACAGGGGTCAGCAAAGTTTTTCTGTGCAGGCCCAGACAGTAAATATTCCTTGCTTTGCAGTCTCTGTTGCAGCTATTCAACTCTACCATTGCAGCATGAAAGCAACCACAGACAATGTATAAATGAATGGGTGTGGCTGTGTGCCAATAAAACTTTATTTCCAAAAACAGATAGCAGGCCAGATTAGCCCATGGGTCATAATTTGTTGACCCCTGCTTTAGGAGAACATGAATATGTTTAACTTTGTCATTTACTGTTTGAATCAAGCCTAGATAGTGAAGTTATATGCTAACCTGTGGATTTTTGGCTGATAGAGGAGATAACCCCAAAGGTTATGGTTTTATTGCCATGTAGGACATAACTAGTTTTGTCTCTAACCTAATAATCTTATTTTAACATATTTCTAAAATGCCTATAAACACCCATTTCCTTAAATGTTCTTGGGACCATCCTAACTATCTCCTTGGTTCCCTCGTAAATGAATAAGTTTTTGACACGTGTTCGTTCTTTATTTGTATGCATAGTGTTTTTTAACTTTTCCAAATTACATTTTGACAAGGTCAGTAATTAGAATATCATTTATAGCTCTGTCTTATAATAACAACTGTCATTGGGCAATGTGCCAGATATCATATTCAATACCTTAAATAGAGTTATCCTTATCTTATGCCAATAAAGTAGGTATTATTATTTATTATCCCCATTTTGCAGATAAGGAAACTGAAGCACATAAAAGTTAAATAGCTATGAATTGAAATAACTTAAACCTAACCCAAGTTTTTCTCACTCTACAGCCTGATAATAAAGCTGAACTGCCTTTCTCGGAAAATAAGCACTATCGACCTAAGTACAACCCTGTTTAACAGGAACTTTCAGTCTTAATTTCTGGAATTATCCAATTTCCAGGACCTAATATGTGGTTAAAAAAGATATTTACACTCAGACATGTACCCCCTCATGACTAAAATTATACTGTACTTTTTTTTCTTTTTTTACCTTGACAGGTTTAAAGATATTTACAACTCCCCCCTTAGCTGCATACATATACTGTTTGTCGTGTTTATTACTTTCAGGTGACTTGAAAGATGGTAAAAATAAGACAGACAAGAAGGATCAATCAAATGTCGGAAATGATGCAAAGAAAACAGATGGTAAGAACATAATTTCCATTACATTTTTCCATAAAATGTGCAGTTTAATGCAAGCTTGTTAGAATTACACCTAAAATTGAAATTGTGGTTGCTAGTATATTCTTATATTATACCTTGAAAAAACACTTCACTACATTTAAAGAATACTATTATTCCTTTTACAATAATTTACAAATTATTGTTGTATCTCTTCCCCTCCACCATACTTTCTCCATCACAAATGCATTCTATGCTCTTTCTTTTCCCACTTGCCATTTTCATTCTGACCTTTATAAAAAGTTGGTTCTGAACTTGCTGACTGTAATGGAATAGAATATGAGTCTTTGATAGTGAATTGTGCAGCATAAATGGGAAATTTTCCATGTTTTTAGTATCCACATCTTTTTCCCTTAAATAGGTTATTACTTTTGATAAAAACAAAAACAGAAATCTGTTCATTGTTATCATTATGTTGAGAGGCCCATGTACTGGAGAACATACGTAGCTGTAGAATATAGTTTAGTCAGCAAGAGTACCTCTTAAAGGCAAGCTTTGGATGACAATCCCAAACCAGTTAGAATGAGCCTACATTGTAATGTGCTTCGTTACATTACATGACAATGTAATTTACATTACTATATATACATATATGAGCACTGCTTTTACTTTTCATAAACAGCATTCCACTCTTTCTAAAACCTGAAGGTTCAAATTATATTACCCTCTAAACTTTGAACTATTGGATTGAGAAAACTACTTTCACCTTTTATACAAATCTTCTGTTTCACTTGTAACATGGGCTCGTTCCTAATTATTCCCTCATTCATGTACTTGATATTAAACTAAAAATGAAAGTTTCTAGGGAGTGGTTTTTGTTAGAGACCCTGACTCTTTGAATCATACCTCCCTGGAGACATGGTACTAGATGCTAAGCTATTTGAATAGTTTGGTGATAATGCCGTTGAAGAACCAATGCTGGGTAGTCAGGTGGAGGAATAAGAAGAAATTTGAACACAACTCCTCACACATCTGTTAAGAAGGAAGTGGCTCCTTTAGCTTTTATCTCTAAACCATTGTGATATGCTCTCTTTACTCATATGCATGAAATCCATTCTCAAATCTTTCCTTTAAGATCATTCAAATAATTCACTCCAGGTGTCTTATCACATAATGTTTGGGAAACACACATGTGTAAATTTTCACCAAATTATTTATGCAATAGGAAACCACTTACCTGATAAATAGACCCTCCTTGAATGACTGTGACTAGGATGTGAATTATACGTAGATGAAATAGAATTCAAAAGGACAGTATCTCAGCCAGACTCTGTTAGGGGTAAGGTTTGTTCAAATACCAGAGGCTTTTTGCCAGACATCATTTGACCTAAGTCCAGGTAACACAGGTAGGAACATGTACAGTAGAGGAGAAAGGTGTTAACTATAAACCCAGTACCTGGAAGCTTGGCCCATCCTGTATCCAGTGACTGGCCCATCTGAATTCCTACAGCATAAAGCCCAGAATAAACCAAATCCCAAATCTTTAACATAGGGTCTTGAATCCTGTTGCATTTTTGTATTGTGCTACAAATATCTGTTATAATGCTATCATGTGGGCATTGTGGATTGAATTTTATTATCTTCATTAAGGCCTCTTATTTTGCCTTTTTTTTTGTGTGAGGAAGATCAGCCCTGAGCTAACGTCCATGCCAATCCTCCTCTTTCTGTTGAGGAAGTCCGGCCCTGAGCTAACATCTATTGCCAATCCTCCTCCTTTTTTTCCCCCCTTTTTCTCCCCAAAGCCCCAGTAGATAGTTGTATGTCATAGTTGCACATCCTTCTAGTTGCTGTATGTGGGACTCTGCCTCAGCATGGCCGGACAAGTGGTGCGTCGGTGTGCACCCGGGATCCCACACCAGGCCGCCAGTAGCAGAGTGTGCTCACTTAACTGCTAAGCCATGGGGCCGGCCCCGTATTTTGCCTTTTTAAACTGAGTTGTCCCCAAATATTTGAACTAATTAAACAGTTTTGTTTCGTTTTGTGGGCAGGAGTGATGAAATAGATATTATGTTATATTATACAAATAGGTGTAAAGCTTGGTTATTTAATGAACAGGATTCATTTTTTGTTGTTGTTGTTGGGAAAGATTTGCCCTGAGCTAACATCTATTGCCAATCTTCCTCTCTTTTTTTTTTCCCCCTTCCCAAAGCCCCAGTACATAGTTGTATATTCTAGTTGTTGGTCCTTGTACTTCTTCTTTGTGAGCCACTGCTACAGCATGGCTACTGACAGACGAGTGGTGTGGTTCTGCGCCGGGGAATCGAAGCCAGGCCGCCAAAGTGGAGGACACAGAACTTTAACCACTAGGCCATCAGGGCTGGCTCTGAACAAGATTCTCGATCCCATAGGGTAGTGAACAGGATGCAGTAAATGAAGAGATTTTTTTTCTGATGTCTATCCCTTTTTCCCGCCATGATCCAACCTCCCACTGCTTCGAATGGGGTCTGGTGTGTCCATATACTTGCAAGTTTGTACACAAACTTGGGCATGAACAACTTTGTACTTTAATTTCGTTAATGGACTAACATGACATCAGTCATTATCACTGCTTTGTTCTCATCAGGACTTAGATCACTGTGCTACTTGTGCTATCTTAGCTCAAAATCTTTACAAGGACTAAAGTTAATTCTTGGTGGCATGATGTGGAAAAGATTTGATCAGTCTCACCTACCGCCCCCCCTTGGCAATCAAGCTCTCTACTTTAGAAAATTTTAAAAATGATATATATAGATCAGTAGATACATTGATTTTTAAAAACTATATAGTAACAACCAGATACATTTTGAACATTTCTTTTTAACGGGTCCTGTTACATCTGATGACCACGGGGAGTCAATTTAACTATTTTTAATGCCCCTACCCCTGATCCAACCCTTGGGAACCAATGGTGACCAGCTCTGTCTAATTTTTGGGAGGGAGTATCCAAGCACAATTCAGTGCCCAATGTGATCAAATCCACTATGGTTTGAATTTTCAACATTGTATGCATTCAGAAAGAAACTCATTGGAAACTGGACCACAGTTGGGTATTCCCAAACTCCAGTGAGCTGAGGTATGCACAGAGGGAAGGAGCATGTGCTGAATGAGTAATTACATCCTGGCATAATGAACACATTGCAGCTGTACATTATCTCTGTCAGGCTACTGAGGTACTATTTAGTACCCTGCAGCACTAATTTTCTAACTGACTTCAAAGAGTGAATGTCCTTTGAAAATACCTTGCTTACTCTTAGGGAGAAATATACTAACATAAAAAGATCTGGGTCTCTGAGCCAAGATTCTCTCAAGGCCTAAACTTTTACAGTATCATTGGGAGACTTGTGGGATACCATACAAAGGGATCATTTTCAGTGAGTTTTTAGTCATGTTTGAAACAGCATAACCTCTTGGACCTGTCATTTTTTTTTGTAGTTGCTCAGAAATATGAATTTGTCTTTAACTTTACTTGACTTCATTAACAGAGACATAAGATATAGCCACTGTTTGTGTTGCTCAAAAGATTGATTATAATTAGGCCCTGCAGGGTTATTTGCCAAGTCCCAGGGAGGGAGTTCAGCAGCAATTTCTCCTTCATTGAATGTTCTGGGAATTGGAATGTATAAAGATGTTGGTTCATGAAATTTAAAAGTCAGTTGTGGAGAGTGGAAAGAGTGGACAAAAGACAATCTATGGACATCTGCTTCTGCTAAAGAGGACTAACAAGAATTAGATTTACCTGTCCATCTGAAAGAAGCAAAAAAAAAAAAAAAAGACAACATATGTGAAGAATAGTTTTCAAGATACTGGACTTGAAGAAATGAAGGACAGTGATCCCTGAGAGACAGGAAACAAATGAAGTGAACCCTACAATTGCCACAGCTTACTGCCTTGAGACGGTTCCCAGGCAGCATAGGGAGGGGAATCCAGGCAGACCTGATGGACTTCTTGAGTTTAGGAGTTGAATAAGGATCCAGGGAGACCAAGGTGGCTAGAGTTAACGGGATAAAGTACCAGAGAGGAGAGAGCTGCAGAGAGATAGAACTCCAGAGATTCAAAGAGTGTTCATCAGAGTACTGATTGACCCATACAATGAGGAAACTACCTGAGACCAGGAAAGAATCATTCAAGAGGATTAGAGGGAATGATCCTGATGTTCACACTTCAGATAGGACAGGAAAAGTGCCTATTCCCACCAGCTAGAGTTGAATACTTCATAACTTAAAGGAAATTGGGTAGAATACTCATAATTGTCTTGCCTTAGTAGTGAGGAATAATTAGCTTAGGCTAAATGCTGCTTTGGTCCCGCCTAACAAATCTTAAAAGCAAGATATGAAAAGATCAAAGTGTTTGCAAGTAACTGCATCCCAGAATAAAGCTCACAGATATATAGAGAGAGACTATATATATACAGAGAGAGTATATATAGAGAGAATATGCATATGAATACAAAAATATTCAGTACTCAACAAGGTAAAATCCACAATGTCTAACATCCAACCAAAAATTACTGGACATGCAAAGAAGCAAGAAAATACTACTCATAATAAAGGGGAAAAAACAATCCAATTGAAACCAATCCATAACTGAAACAGATGTCAGAATTAACAGACAAGAACATTAAAGCAGTTCTTATAACTGTAGTCCATATATTTGGAAGTTGAATAGAGACATTAAAGATATAAAAAAGACAAAATCAAACTTCTAGAGATGAAAATTACAATATCTGTTATGAAAAATACACGGGAGGGTATTAAGCAAATAACATTGTCTAGGATTAATGATAAATACACTGGAGATTAGACACTGTAGACAAAAAGAGTAGTGAAAAACTAGCAATAGAAACTACTTAAAATGAAACACAGAAAAAAAGACTAGAAATTATTGTAAAGAGCATCAGTGAGTTTTAGGACACCGTTAGGCAGCCTAATGTATATGTAACTGGAGTCCATAAAGTAAAGAAGAGAGAGAGGAGGAAAGAACAATAT